GTGCTGGCACATGGGATGCTTAACCTTATGGTCTAATGAAAATCAAAGGGGAATTTGTTTTAGTTTGTAAAATCTGTATGCAAGTCTAATTTTGACCAGCAGCAACTTCAGTGAGTAGGCTGGTGTAAAATTTTCACATGATTTGTACTGGAGGAATATATACTTCCATATCTATAGAAACACCCACAGAAATTCTTTTAGAGAATCACAATAGTCAGTATGTGAGATCTCACTGCTCCGGAGGCCTTCTGCTCCAATGGTGGATGAATCAGACTCCATGTACCATGGACAATGAGAATCAAGTGCTTTACTTTTATATGCATGCCTTGTTTCAAAATGTAAAGGTCATCTAATACACATTAAGTGAACTGTACAACGGAGGAGACTCTCAAAGGCCACAGACACTAAAGGCAATAAAAGGAGGGAACGGTAGGTCAACCTCAGAAGATGTTCCTGTGGCATACAGAAATTGGATGAAGTTCCTTATTGACAGCAAAAAGACAGCAACAGCCAGCTAACGTCTGAATTTCAATGGAGACAGAGGAGGAAATCAACACAGAAAAGGGCAGTGACTTGCGCAGAGTCAGATCCGGAACGTGGGGTGCCTGAGTTGTCATCTATTATCCCATGTTCTTCACTAACCTGCCACCTCCCATTTCCATCAATGAGCCTAAAAACTCCCAGGCTGTTGCATTACTGGATGAGGCTGCCCAAACAGCAAATTCACCCAGTTTCATGAGACTGTGAGCAACTAATATAATCCTTAACTGTATTCTGACATTCAGGAGTTCTTTACGCTATGTCTTTAGAGATGAAGTCAAGTAAGCCTTAGCCTACATGGGGCAGAGGAAGAGGGTACCTTTCGGTGGCTAGAGACTTGTGTGATGATGTCTCCCATGGCACAGCAGTTCCCGGCATCGAGCAATTTAAAAGATGAGGTCAGAGAGAAGTGGAGTCTCGGTGAAGAGAAGAGCGGCGTGAAAGCCTGGTGCAGCAGAGCAAGTAGTGAGAGGCAGCAACGCACAAGCCGGTCCTTCCGAGGATGCTGTGGGAGAGGCAGAAAAGACAAAGGAAAGGGTCATGAGTGTAGCAGGGAATGAATCTATTCTGCCATGGAAAAAAAGGTGGGTTTCCAGCTCTGTTTTTAATTGCATTAGCCTGCCCTATTGATACAACCTTCCCAAAGAAGCTCACAGGGGCACTAAACAATAATTAAGGCACTACGTTCCCAGAGTCCTCTTTTGTTTTATGCTATGGGTAATCGTGAAGCTAAGGGGGAAAGGGAAAGCAGCTCAACGAGCTCCATGGGGGCACGGAGCTGACGGACTGTTTAAATGTAATGGTGTCTCAGCTCTTGGAGGAGGAGAGGATCGTCGATTTCAGGCCTCTGAAGCGCTAAATTACCAAACGAAAACTGCAGCAAGTCCCACCAAAAATGCAGCCATCAATACTACAGATCGTTTTTAACCAACAAAAGTTGACAGAATAAAGGATGGAGGTTGAGGGATGTCTGCACTGTATGCCAACGTTTTTCTAAAAATATTTTACACCTGCTATTCGTTCCGCACACTGATCATATTTTGTCTATGAGGTAGAGAACTCGTAGTGCCAAAGGGAATGTGGTTTATGTTCCCGAGTCTTAATGCTTTTTCCCTTCTGTAAGGCAAAACTCCTTACTACCGTCACTAAAATAAAGCCAAGAGGACAAAAGTCATACGCGCACTGCCACGGTAACAGTTTAACTGTTCCTCTCGCTGATCTTTGGAAACAATCCCTTCAGCAGG